TGGAGTCAGAACACTTCCATCCCAGTTGGGTGAAGCTTCCCTTGTGTGATGGGGAAAGCATTGTAGTGCCTTCCATTTTACCATGCTTGCTGTCAAAACAACATCCGGGGGGGGGGGGGGGGGGGGGGGGGGATGTGATAAGGTCCTTAGATAAATAGTTGGAGGCTGCTGGTGGCTGCAGAGGAAGCAGAACTAGTTGCACCTTCTAGATATTCCGTTTTGTTGAAAAACAGAACTGTGTATACTTTACTCAGTGTCTTGTGACTATCCTCTACCAAGCTGGCTTAGTGCTCTTAGGAGCAGTAGAAGAAGCTGTCTCTTCATTCATGCTTAAAGTATAATTCAATGGCCAGTCTGACCATTTTCTGTGTTTAGGATGAGCAAATAGAGGCATATCTTGTTTTATAAAAACTCATGGGATGGCTATGATTCTGATAATTATTTAAGGGAAGCCAAGACATTTATCATAACAAATGTGTTGGACTGCTGAAGCAAAAACAGCAAAAGAGTCTTGTGTCATCTTAAAGATTAGCAAATTTCATGTAGCATCAGAGACATACCTAAATAGGCAGGTATTTTCCCACATGCTATGTAATTATGGGGTGAGAAATTGCAAAAAGTACACTGTATCTCTAAAACAGAAGTTAGAAAGCACAGATGGAGGAAAATTACTCTAAAAAAGAGAAGGATTGCAACTAAAATTATTCCCCTGCTTCACTTTTCCTTTGTGTATTATTTGAGACAAGGCTCATGTATCATGGGATTACTTATCTGCGGTGAGTAATACTTTTTGTTTCCCCATCCATTCATTTCTGGTTTGCCAGTGGGTTTTGTAGATCAATTGGACTGGCTAGATTCCCATAGGGTGACTACTTTGGCCGTTAAAGGCGACTCTGTCACAAATCAGTAATAGTGGTGTTCCTTTAGTTCCAAGAGAAAAGGCAACATGAAAAGCTTGGCTGGCAGATTTATTGATTACATTTCACCAGTGACCAGCAAGAGGCAAGCGCTCTGAAAAAATCCCCAAAGGTGATCATTAGCACTGAGTAACTGTCACTAAACATTAGCACCAGCAACAGACTGGAGCAAAGTTGTGGCGGGTGGGAGCACAATACTTAGACGCAAGATGCCAGCAGTGCAAGAAGAAAGGGAGAGGGAGGGAAAAGTCCACTTGCATTAGCGTTGCTATATGTAACGATGAAAGCATAACGGCACAACTATAAGTAGGCTCTTGCTGCTATTTTTCATTTTGGAATGTTGCTAAGAGATGGGACTGCAATTCCCAGGATCCTGGTGACCATGCTGGGCAAGAAAATCTGGGATTTGTAGTCCAGAAAAGTCACTTTTCCTAGTTCTGTCATATCAGGCTCCCAAAGCTTGTGATCACCTTGCTGAAAATAGTCCAAAAATAACTGCGAAGACTCAGTGACTGTAGTTGGAGAAATGATATTACAACCTGACACAGCCAATCAGGTTTAACAAGGTGAGGATATTACCAAAGGGGAAGAATAAACAGTTTCTAAAGGTTGCATGTTTTGAGGGGGGGGGAAAAACAGCAGAATACAGCGGCACCTTTAACAACTGAAATGTTGTGTTATTGCATAAGCTTTTGTAGGCATAAGTCCATTTCATCTGATGTATGAAATAGAGTATGAACTCTATATCTGTAGGGGATACCCCCTGTGGATAACTGAAATCATTGAAATCTGAGCTTTATTTTGACTGTATTTGGTCTAGCTAGAAACTTACCATTGCACTGGAAGACCCAGAGAGGCCCACAAACACTGGTGGTGAGTGAACATTTTATGGGCAACTGTAGATATTGAATTCTCAAATAAGTAGGTCATACTATATTATTTGGAAGTGAAATATAGAGAGGCATACCTCAGTTAACAAAGCTTCTGACAATGAGTAAGAATACTTTTACAAAGTATTCTTACTCTTCTCTGGTTCTTAGGCTTCCATCTTGTGCTCTGTCTAGCTGGAGTATTGTTTGAGCAACATCCACTTTAAGATCGTGAAGGATAAATGCAGACTTTCAGCATCATAGCAGCATGGTTACATTGCAATAAAGTATGAGCTGGAAAGAAGGACACATATTGTAATTGCTGGTGACCACTTACACAAGGTGATTTAAATAGCAGATACCTCCACAATCCCCGACTGAACATATGAGAACAGCACACCAGAGTAAAAAGAGAAGAATGAATAAGCCTCCATCACTAGCACTCCTTGGATGTTAAAAAGCATAGACCCAAAATAAAAGAAAACGGGGAGTCATAGAATCAAAGAGTTGAAAGAGACCTCATGGGCCATCTAGTCCAACCCCATTCTGCCAAGAAACAGGAATATTGCATTCAAATCACCCCTGACAGATGGCCATCCAGCCTCTGTTTAAAAGCTTCCAAAGAAGGAGCCTCCACCACACTGGGGCAGAGAGTTCCACTGCTGAACGGCTCTCACAGTCAGGAAGTTCTTCCTCATGTTCAGATGGAATCTCCTTTCTTGTAGTTTGAAGCCATTGTTTCTCGTCTTAGCCTCCAGGGAAGCAGAAAACAAGCTTGCTCCCTCCTCCCTGTGGCTTCCTCTCACATATTTATACATGGCTATCATGTCTCCTCTCAGCCTTCTTTTCTTCAGGCTAAACATGCCCAGCTCCTTAAGCCACTCCTCATAGGGCTTGTTCTCCAGACCCCTGATAATTTTACTCACCCTCCTCTGGACACATTCCAGCTTGTCAATATCTCTCTTCAATTGTGGTGCCAGAATTGGACACAATATTCCAGGTGTGGTCTAACCAAGGCAGAATAGAGGGGTAGCATGACTTCCCTAGATCTAGACACTATGCTCCTATTGATGCAGGAAATATTTTTATTTACATCTCCCAGACACATTGAGTTGCTCTTTTTTGGTTGTATAGGAATCTATATTATTTCCATGTTATTTTGGCTTCTGGGACAAAATGTTCTGTTAAAACCTATAGCAATGTCACTTATCAGGGGAAAACTTTTTTTTAAAAAAATGTCACTGTCCCTTGAAGGAAAATGTGGGGGACAGCAACAACCAAACACCCCCATTTACAACGGTTTGTAAATACTGTCTCCCCCCTATATTTCCATGCAGTTCTGAGATATTGGCAATTATTATTTAAGTCAAAAGGGAAAAAGAAGAATAATTTACACCATCCATCATTGTTTCCTTGCATGAATAAATTACAAGACACCACAGCAAATCAATTGTGGGGAAAGAAGCAGCCCATGCCAAACGCCGTGCTTCTGTGTATAATTTCCTTAATGTTTTTCATCCTCATACATCAAAACTACAGACTGAATTTGGCAAACCTGATGCAGGAGAAAGCTCATTATCCCAAGGTCTTGCAGGGCACCTAAAACCTAACTGGGGAGCCAGACCATGTAATAAGGGAAAACAGGTGCAACTAATCCCCAAGCACAGACCTCACAACCTACTGGGCTTGTTTCTCTCTTCCCAGATCCATCTCTCAAGAGAAAAATCACAAGCTTCACAGTATCATCTATTCTTGTACAGGTTTCAGAACATCTGAACTCAGAGTTCAAGACTCTGTTAGCAACTTTGGTGGTGAACTAACAGCACAGTGTTACTTGTCACCACTTACTACAGTTAGGTCTTCCAGCAGAAGATTTTTCTGACAGATCTTCCTGATCATCTGTTACATGATCCTGAAACTTGGATATTTTTGTGTAAAAAACCCCAAACATTTCCTATTAGTTCTGGTCTCTCTACATCATGCAAAGCTGCAGTCATTATGTTTGCTGAAGATTCCCTACTACACATTTTTCTGCCCTTGTGTACATTCAAGTTAGCCTTATAATTGAAGAAAAACTCCCACAGATGTTTTACTTGCAAATATATTTGAATCTCATCATCTCACAGAATTCAACCTAGTATTAGCAAGGCTTCCCTTCCTTCTCTTTACACTTTTCTCTTTAATTTATGTAGCTTTCCCCAGCAAATTGTGCACTGTTTTTTTTCTTTTCCTATCAAATAGCAGTTACAGACATACTCTGCATACTCACAAAAGATGCATACATGTTCCCATAAATCATTGCAACTGAAGACAGCATTTAGTAGTATGTAAATTCTTTCCAAATCATATTCCATTCACAACAGTAGCCTCGAGAGAAGGGCCCAAACGATGGCTTCATGTTTATGTGTATCTGTGAGCAAGTGACCTGAGTTTCTCCTTAGAAATCAGAAACTGAACTCTTCCTCTCCATAGGTCTTTCATATGCTATGGAGAAAAAACTGGGATGTTTTTATGGAGAAAAGTGGAATTGATATATGTAATAAACAAATTAAATGGATAGAAGCCTACAGTTTTGCTCCTTCAAGAACAGGATTTGAATGACCAGGTTGTGGTGCAGCTGGTTAGGAGTCAGCTGCATTAAAATCACTACTGACCAAAACGTCATGAGTTGGAAGCCAGCAAATGGTCAGAGTAAGCTCCTGACCATTTGTCTAGCTTGCTGTCAACCTTGAAGCCTGAAAGACAGTTGCATCTGTCAAGTAGGAAATTTAGGTACTGCTTATGCAGGGAGGCTAATTTAACTAATTTACAATACCACAAAACTCTCCAGTGCATGCAAAAGAATGAGGAAGTACTCTATCGGTGTCACAAGTGGATAGTGAAGCGACAGCTCCCCCAGTGGCCGAAATTGAGAGCTTACCCTCATGAAGCTGGAAAGTTAAATAGCCTCTGTTTATCTGTCTATATATGTTGTGTCTCTATTTTTGACATGTATATACATTGTGATCCATCCTGAGCCCCCTGCAGGGTGAGAAGGATGAAATATAAATACTGTAAATAAATAAATAAATAAAATAAATTCCTGCTTCAAAAATTTTCTTGATTTTTTTAAAAAGGTAACTGTTTTAGGGATTTTTCATATGAGGCGAATATTGCACAGAGAGTGGGTCCACAGGTACATTCTATTATGTGATGCTTGTCTTTAAAAACTTACCACGTGGTGGCTCAAATTGCATGGAGAGCCGGTTGTCTGTTGCCTCCAACCATGTGGCGAATTGAGTGTTACAACGCCCCTGTAACCGATGGGAAATCCGAGGGAGCAGGGTGTGCACCCATCCTGAATTCTCTGCTGTTGGGCAAAAGAAACATTACTCTTATTAGAGGATTATATTATATCACATTATATTCTTTATGATATTTCTATCCCACCTTTCTCAAGCTCAAAGGCCACTCAAGGCTGCTTACAAATTGGCAGCAATTCGATACCATAACAATCCACAATATACAATTAAAACATTTAAAACAGCATTATAAAATCAATATACAATCAATACGATACAAAAACCATTAAAAACATATTATACACATCTGCTACTAAATTTTGGTTTACATTTCTTTATATTTCTGTGATACCTCACTTGCCCTCCTTTCGATGCTGGTTTGCCTTGGATGTGCCAAAACTCATACCTTATTCCACTTGGGGAAGTAAAGCTACTGCAATGACAATTGTTGCAATAGCACAGAATATTCATCAGTTCAAGGGGCCAACAAACTACATAGTTCAACTTTTGCACAGGAAGGGGACCCTGCCAAAATGGCTGAATGAAATCAAGGTGAAGACTAGGACGAGGGGAGATATCAAAGATACAGTGGAGAGGTGATATGCTGACAGAACCCTATGAAAGAGAAACCCAAACAAATGAGAAAGGGGGTATAAGAATATCAGGGAGGAGGGGGAGAAAGATAAGCCCTTGTTGCCACAAGGGCTTATCAGAAAGTATATCCTAGAAAAAATGTGGTGCATGAGACGAAGGAGTAAGAGCTAGAAAAACTGGTAAAAATACACAAAATGGAAAAAGGTAGTCAGGAAATCAGGAAGTAGAAATAGGGCAAAATGGTGCACAATAGCTGGGGAATGCAAACACTGTTCACTATTGATAGTAAGAACAAGGGCAGGTAAATAGAAGCCAAGTGGACATCATATTGCTATCTAGACTCTAAAAACTGACCAGTAGATGCTGTTGTTGTGGCTTCTGCAATCACTGAAGCATTATATCAAGGCAACGAGTCCAAAAAGCAGTGATGTGTGGGGCTGAATTTCACAGATTTGGCTGTTGGTTTCTAACTGGCTGCCCTTCCTTGTCAAGAGGAAAAAAAATCTGCTGCCCGGTACAGCCTGAAAATAACCCATTTCAGGCTCGGAAAGGACATTGGGGTGATTCTCTTAGAAAGTAAATTAAATGCAACTGTGACTCTAAGCATCTGGCAGATTTGATTTGGGATGGAGGATGCTGCAAGATAGTGATAAGTGAACGGCTGGCACCAAAGGGAATTAAAAGACTGTGCCTCCATTTAATGGAGTGGATTTCTTTCAGCATAGTACCCATTAAGGGCACTATACCGACAACACATGTAACCTTTTAAACTGTGAAATTGCAGGTTCCACAACTGCAAAGGGCTGACTTTGTTATTCTATTAATACAACAATTCAGGGAGGCAATTGCAGGAAGGTGTCCTCATCTAACCTCACTCTTCTCCTATAAAGAAAAAGATGTTGGATTTATGACATGTTCTTGACTTTATTTTGATTGCTAAAGTATAGATGCAAAGCATATGCATTAAGAAATTACACTTAAGGTATTACCATTAAATGTAATTAGTCAGAGTTACATATATTCCCCCATAGCCACTAGGTACCATTATTATACCTATAACACTTTTTTAATTTTCTGTTTTAAGTAGTTTCTTTTTCATTGCTAAAATAAATAGATATGATTGGCAGCTATGGATCACATACAGTTTTCTCCTATACCTATACAAGGATCTACAGACTTTAATGTTGTGTGTGTGTGTGTGTGTGTGTAGACCAAACTCCTATGAGGCAGGATCATACTATTTAAGAAACAGATCAGTTTGAACTGGTGGCTGCTACAGGTGAATTTTACAAATATATCAATTGTAGCAGTTGTGTGTCTTCAAGACATTTCTGACTCATGGCGTTCATTGGGTGACCATATCATAGGGTTTCCTGGGGTTGAGAGTGTTCATAGGGGTTCATGGGAATGGGATTCTGGTCCCAAAAGTCATAGGACCTCATCATATTGATGAGGTCCAGTGTTCTGATTCTCCAGACTCCATAGTGAATTGGGGTGAAGCGGGGCAATTCCGATGCCCCATACACTGCCTCGCCACCAGCTGACACTTCCTCATCACATGTGGGAAAGCCTTGTCATGATGCTTTCCCCTGCAGTAGCCCTGTTGTTCCAAATAGAACATGGAGGGGCTCCCATGTTGGCGGTGCAGCATCCTACATTGCTTCTGCCCCTGTTTACCCACAGAGCTCAACCGGAAGTGAGGCTATGTCATGTGATGGGCAGCGTGTGGGTCAACTGGGGCAGAAGTGTCCTAGGAAGCTGAATTTCCATTGTATGATGAGGTCCATAGAGCAAAGCTCAAACTACCATACCACACTGGATTCTCTAGTCCCATGCTCAAACCACATGTAGGGCTGAATTTACCACTAAACTAACTCTTCTATAGATCAGGGAAGAGCTATTTTAGGATTTCAAAATTAATCATGTTGGGTTTCATCCCTGACTGCACAAGTCTCCAGCCCTCAGTAGTTAGTCTAGGTAGATTAGAATGAGGGATTGTTTTACTCATCCTGCATGCTACTATCTCCTCCCCTTTTGAATACTTAGCAATGTGATATCTTAAGGGATGATGTAATTTCCCCTTTAAAGGTATTTTTATTGCCCTGGTGAGGCCATGTGGCCAATTCTCCATTTTGGCCTCTGTCTTGCCTTTCTTCTCCTTGAGTAAGAATGCATCTTGCCATTCTCCAGGCAAGATGTATATGCATGGCTATTTTGTTATTTTTCCTTTTCCTTAGAAGATAGCTCAGTGAAGCAAGTTAGCTCCAAGAATCTTTTCTATCCAGAATGAATTTCTTTTATCTTTAATAAACATATTATTTTTAGAACCTATGAAGTTGTGGATCTGTAATCCTGTTCCATCCTTCTGAATGGAAACTAATCCTTGCTCTCTGCATGTAAGCTTCTGATGGTTATGAATTGTGCTTCTGGCACTCTGCTATATTTTTGTGCGTTATTTTTGAGCCTAACAGCTCTTGATACCTAACAAATCATGATATATCTAAATGATCCTGCTAATTAATCTCATATCAATTTTCTTTTAAAAATGCAAAACAAAATACTTTACATAAAAGTAGAGAACAAGTCCAAATACAGTCTCAACTGAGAGCAGCCTGTGCTTTTTGCAAATCCCTGTTGAAGAAGTTTCAGCTGAGAATACTGACACTGCAACTTCACTGCGCTGTGTTAGTGACCTTAATATATTGGGACTGGTGATACTGAGGTGTCGCTTTATCGCTGATTATGGTTCATCAGATTTTGTGTCATTTGAGCTATAAATTAAATGGAAAGTACATTTGTAATGTGAAGTCCATGTCTACTTACTTAATCTAATCAAGTCTCAAATACTTGCTTTAGCAGGCTAATAGCCTCTTGAAGAAACATGGGGCTGTTCCACATTTCATTTATGTGATGGATGGGATGGTGAGATGGATTAAATAGTAAATGAGTACCTTGGGATGAGAAAAAAATGAGAGTCTGCTAGTCTGTACTATAGATATTTCAGCTACACTTAGGACTTTTTAAAAAGTCCCAGACCAGTTTAGTATAAATGTACACTAAGATCCTCAAAAGCAATTTATCACTAGAGAACTTATACTAGCTAATTGTTCATTGTGATTATTTGAAAAGACGTGTTGTATTAAAACAAAGAGACATCTTACTCTGTGCTTTTCACTTTGAAAACTCAAAGGCAGAACATGAAGACAACAGGTAGTACTTTGCTTGTGCCCTGCATCTATAATTCAGAGGCTCTGGTGCTCCGAAGGTCAAGTTAACTATCATGATGAATACCCATTGACATATTCTTCAGATTGTTCCTTAATCTTTTTGAAAGCTAATAATGACTACAGCAATAATCAGCATATTATGTAGCAGAGAGTTCCACCACTTACATCTGTCTGAATCTACCACCAAATGTTAATAATTTTTATTGAGTGTTTGGTGGTCTAGCATTACAGGACGGGGAGAAAACCATTTTTCTTCCCCTTTCCCATATCATCCATCAGTTTTATAAACCTTTCAACTCACTTTTCCACTTAAAAGATCTGCCAAATGTTTTAGCTTTGACTCATGGGGAAAATATTTCAGTCCTTAGACATTTTCAATATATTGCCCCTTTCAAGTTCTATAATATCTTTTTAAAGAATATATATATATATATATCCAGATTTCCATTGGCATACCTAAGTGGGGCTTGGAAGGTAGCCCAGCTGATCCCAAACATAAAGTACTTTCTAGTCTTTCTGTGATGGAGACCCTGTGTTGGCACAATGGGTTAAACCCTTGTGCCAGCAGGACTGCTGACCAATAGGTCAGCAGTTCAAATCTGGGGACAGCGGGTTGAGCTGGTTGAGATCCAGCTTCCCATGCGGTGACATGACAGAAACCTCCCACAAGGATGGAAAAACATCAAACATCTGGACATCTCCTGGGCAATGTCCTTGCAGATGGCCAATTCTCTCAAATGAGAAGCGACTTGCAGTTTCTCAAGTTGCTCCTGACATGAAAAAAATATTTCTGTGAGGCAACCAAATTTATATGCACCATTCCAAATGTTGGACAAAAACAGATGCAATGTTTTGTTCCCTTTTAACCAGCAGTAGGAGGAGAGGGAATTCCCATTTTGATCACAGGGTTCATTATTATGATGGTGGGAGGTGGACTTGTTTATTGTGAAAACTATGTTATACAGTAATTTCTTTGAGTTGGGTGTAAAGATGCACATTATACCCAGAGTGAGATCACTGTCAAAACAGGAAAATTATCCTATACACCATTTAATGGCATATTTCACTTTGTAAGGAAGTCTTTCTTTATATATAACATCTTTTGGGTTGTTTCCACAATAGGATTTTTACTAAAACATGAACTCGTCTTTGATGTTAAGACAGGACCTCATAATGTTGATGAGGTCCTCTGTGCTGATTCACCAGCCTCACGTCCTGCCCGGCCATCAGCAACTCTTCCCCATCAC